TGAATCTAAAGGTAATAAAATTTAGATGATTATTTTTCTTAAATATTGAAGATTATTTGTTATTTAATTTTTTATTTGTATATTGCCACGTATAGACATCACAAAAGACCATTGATACATATTTTATCTTCCACCTAATCTGCCCGACAACCAACCTATTATAGCCACTCTAAATATCAAATCAATCAAATTGTCCATGGGCTCAGAAAGCCTATAATGCTGGAAATAATATCTCAATATGCTGATCAGACATTTCAAATTCAATATGTATGGTTCAGAAACAAGGACTATGAAAAAAAAGATGAAAGAGTGACTTGATAGTACAGTACATATATGCATTTTCTGATGAGGGTACAAAAAAATCACACATTTATTCAGATATTTCAAACTCAATAATATGGTTTATAAACAATGTATTCTATTTATATGTGATTATCATTCCTACAATATCTTCTAGGTATTGTACTTATGAAAGGTGAATTTGACAACAAAGCAATGGTAAGATATTTTTCTTTTTTTATCATTTTTATTATAGATAAATGCAGATTTTACTAATCATAGCAAGCTACTTTTAATTTCCATGTGATGGATGTATAATGTTTCACCATATCTTACCTTACAATTTCTATATTTAAATAATATTTTCTTGACAGAGTGTCACCGATGCACAGTTCTTAGCCAATCAGATGCAGCTTTACTATGCCCATCATGATAAGGAGCGATTTGATTTGCTGAAGATTTTCAACCAACAACCACAGCATTTTAAACATATGGATGTAATAGCACAATTGAATAGGGGAATTGAGATTAAGCCAAAAGAAAAACAGGACAAAACAGAAGACAAATCCGAATCAAGTTAACAATCAAGATTCCCATTGACTAAATTGAAAGATCTAAAAAACATTTATTCCAGCAAGTTTAAGGGATAATTTTAATAGTCAAATATTAAATAGGTTGTTGGAAGGAGCCAAAACTGTATAGAAATAGAAGACTAATGTAGATGGAGATAAACGAACAAGAATTATTGACA